TGATCGCCGTATGAGTGGTTGGCTCGTAAGAAGTCTTAAAATTCATATATTAATCTTATCATTAGCTGAGTCTCTCAATTGAACAATATTGATTTTGTCCCTGTTTGATCGATCCATATGATGGCTAAATTCTTCTAATTTTTGAAAATTCCGTATCGATGCCATTAAATTATCAGTGATATTTTAAGGTCGTGATGTAACTCATTCTTGGCGTAGTCGAAATGCGGCTGCGAAAGCTTTACAACCACCTATCGTTACACGACATAATCCATTCTCTTTATACGCTGATTTAGATGTTCGTTTCCTTTTATTTCTCCAAATATTTTTCATTTCAACTCCATTTCCCAGCTTTTCTCATTAATTTTTCATGGATATCACATGTTCAATAAGCATCTATTTCAAATTGATTTTCGCATTTCGTCAAAATTTCCGCAGTATGCGAGATGAACGCATCCGATAATGATCAGAGAACGTATGAAAATGCATAGAAATTCATAACAGACAGTATCTTGTTCATCTTCCTAATACAGATCAAATCGGTGAATATAATGAAAAGAATTTTCTGTTCACTTTTGAATTTGAAAGAGCGTTAACTTTTTGCTTACAATTAGGAAACTTCATTTCATGAAAGCAAAAAGAAAGTTTCAGCGTTTGAATGAGCCATGTGGCGAGGCAAGTAGTTTGATAGCATTAACGAAGCCAGTCAGTAGTGGAGATGAACGGAGTGTGCGTATCGATACCAATGAAAAGCCACTGGTGAAGTTTGTGATTGAATTCCTCAAAGTCGATCTCAAGCTGCCGGTTTCGAATACAAACATACAGCAGGTTATGTTAAATCTCTTCATTCGCATCTAATTGAATGAATCCTTACATCAAACGCAGTATGCGATAATTGATCTCATGTTGAGAAATACTTTGAAAAANAAAAATGTTCACTGATTGTTCCAAAAGATATTTTAGAGTAATTTTAGATTGAACCATTCTTCATACGCATTTTTATATTTGACGCAAGAAACGGTCGTCGATTATCAGAAGAGTTTCACATAAATCCGAATAGCGATGAGTTGGATGGATTACTGAAAATGTCTGATAGTTCACTTGGCAAGAATTTATCCGATAGGAGCACATTGAAAGAAGATGGAGTCAATGGAATACCGCAACGAATACTCGCCGATAAACGTGCTACAAAGGTGCATAATTTAATCTGATGGTTTCATTTGAATTAGTTCATCTTCTCACTGTTTCATTAAGGTTTTGGATTTTGAGTGTTAGCTGTAATAGTAAGGATGAGTAGATAATACGAATGCATTTGCAGGTTATTTGTTCGGTGTGTGATCCTCATCGTGATGTATACGTTGTTGTTCGTATTGAACGAGTTTTATCGTCAGATACGTCGTGTGATGTTTATATGAAGAGTAGTGGTGATGTTAAGAATACAAACAAATTGCAGAAGATCATCAAACAAGCCTGTGACAAGTTAGGTGGTTATAGGACTCCGTTTGCATGGACTGCAAGGTTCTTATTTTGGAGTTGTTCCTCAGTTACCTATTAGTCCTCCGTTCATCTCATGTTTTCATACTTTTCACGGTTATTGATCAGATGGTTTTAGGCGTTTTACTGCGTAAATTTTAATTTAACAGTGAAATATGATGTGGGATTGAACGTGATATAAAATGTGGTTTCCCATGGTACTTATAGAGTAATGGTTAGCATCAAAAGACGAACTGATGTAGATATGAAGGAGCTATTATATGAACTGACAGAAAGTTATTGCAGACCAGTGTTTCAAGATATGCTGGGCTGTGGATCGAAGCTTCCTGACGAAATGCAGTTATATCGTTGTGATGCTAATAAACTTTCCGATTGGGATCTTCAAAAGTTACTCAGCGATTTCTCACGGTAATTTTATCCGATAACATAAATTGCCCTCATCATTTTGTTATGAGGT